CGTTTTTGGCAATTGGGACCACTGTGCGCCCCCTCGTCCATCCGCACTCACACGCTCGCATTCATAGGAAAAAAAAACAAAATAATCAGCAATACGTCGAAATTTCCGAATAACGGTCGCCTCTCTGGAGACTGCGGCACGGTTTTCCCTAATCTCGGCCCGTTGCCTTGAGGGAGGAACCCGGTGGACGCGCTCGCGGGACGGCAACGTCACAGTACATTTGGATTGTCGGATTTTTACATTTTTCGCGGATGCGACTGTGTGTGTATTTGTATGTGTGAGGGATTTATTAATGGTCCTTAATTATTATGGAGGAAGGAGGGAAAAGTGGGAGAAGAGGAGTGATCATCCTGAGAAATATTATTTAGAGCGGCTAAACCGACGCGCATGCCTATTCCTCAGGTTCCTTAAACGTTTGAATACGGCTCTCGACTTTCTCCTGGTTTGAGTGGATCCGTGAGTCCACTAAATATATCGAGTTAGGGAGGTTGGCTAGACTTTCTGTTTGTTAATAATTTGCTAGTTGGTAGGTTCAGGGTGAATCTTTGGAAAAGAAAACGAATCGTATCGAACTCACACAAACGGTGAGTCCAGAGGCACGAAACGAATTTTTAAAGGAAGGAGGTACTCGAATCGTACCGAACTCACACAAACGGTGAGTCCAGAGGCACGAAACGAATTCTTAAAGGGTGGAAATACTCGAATCGTACCGAATTCACACAAACGGTGAGTCCAGAGGCACGAAACGAATTTTTAAAGGATGGAGATACTCGAATCGTACCGAATTCACACGAACGGTGAGTCTAGAGGCACGAAACGAATTCTTAAAGGATGGAAATATTCGAATCGTACCGAATTCACACAAACGGTGAGTCCAGAGGCACGAAACGAATTGTTAAAGGATGGAAATACTCGAATCGTACCGAATTCACACAAACGGCGAATCCAGAGGCACGAAACGAATGCTCGATGGAAGGGTGTCTTGAAATCAACTCGCGAGAGCAAGAACGAGATTTTTTAGAATCTAGCGAAGGTCCCTCAGAATAATAAGAAAAAAATATATAGGGGGAAAGGAGGTCGTCGAGCCGAAACAAATGAAAGGAAAAGAAAACGTGCGACTTACTACTGATTGCGATCGATGGTGGTTTGCGGTATCTGGTAAATCTTCGAAGGCGGCTGGCTCAGATAGGTGGTCCGTCGGCCGAAATCGCGCACAGATTTTATTTGGATTGGATGAACTTGATATAAAAGAATATAAACGATATGAAAGAGTGTTAATTCGGAACTTGGAGAATCGCGGAGAGAGATGCGCTGATGGACTCGGGAGCTGCCAAAGAGACTGAGCCAGCAGGCTCCGGGTTTATATACAGTTTTTCGGGGGTGGATCCTGGTCATGGGACGTGGAAGGAGATTTTGGATTTTGGTTTTCCATTGGTGGACTATTGGGAGGTGTCGGGGAGTTGTCTTTCTTAATGGCGACCCGACAATTAAGTCGTAGTCGCCCTTTGGTATTTATTTATGGGCATCATTTCCTTTAGCGACTTTCGAAAAAATCCCGAGTTTCACTTTTGGGTCAAGTTATCTTATCTTTTTTTTTTAATCCCCTTTTAGTGTCTCGGATCGTAATCTGAATTTCGAAACTGCCGTCTGAAAGAGAGCCTGATCCCATCCTGTCTGTTATCTCTTCCCTTTTTATCATTTCAACGGCTATCGACCAGCAACAATCAGAGCACTTTACGTTTCGAGTTACGAAAAGTGAAACTCTAGTAATCAATTTTTTGTGGGGAAGGGACTCGTGCGTTGCCTAGTCGATATCCGCTGATTGATAAGATTGTAGTTTCCAAGGGAAGAAAAACATGCCTCTTATGGTTTTTGAAAGAGAGAAATCGTGGGGTCCACAGGACGTAACAAAAGGATTGGAAAGGATTTACCAAATTTATCTGGAATTGTAGCATATCCAATAGTATGATTGGTGCAAGGATCTATTTGTTCACCTGGTGTCAAACTCATTTCATCAACACAAATCATGCAATCGCTATGTCGTTCATCCGGAAAGTTTGATACCTTCTCTTTTAATAAATCGAAAACTTCATCACAAATTCCATCTTTAAAAGAAATGCATTCCAGGCGATTACGCAGAGTACGAGTTGCAGGCAAAGGAAAATATTCACGTAATAATTCCTTGTATCCATTATCTCCACATGCATGTTTAAGCCGTAGTGCTTTTTTAATAGTTTCACCTGTCCATTTGTACATACAGGGTGAGTCAAATGTATGGAAACCTTCGGATAACTCGTCTGGATTGAATTTTTTTGAAAAATGGTAAATACAAAAG